GCAGGGGAGAGAAATGTTGACATGAGAGCAAAATGCTTTATCAAAATGGGAAGCGACTGGAAGATCAGACTCATTGCTTTGGACAGAGCAGAGCTGTTCTGCAGAGTGGTCACAGTCCAGCCAAGGTAAAGGAGCCTACATTGTGAACAAGCAGTGCAGTATATTAGATTGAAAGAAGTACAAGTAAGATGCTGCTTCACCTGGAAGGTATGTCCGGCACCTTACACAGTGAGGAAGGAAGTGGTGATTGGGTTTCAGGATTGCATGGCAAGGCCCCATGGGGAATAGGAAGTGGTCGGAGTAATGGAGGAGTAGACTGAGCTGGCAGGGAGTAAACAGTCACTGTGGAATGTTGGCGGGACTGTTGAAGATGTGTTTGGTGGTGGCATCTTCCTGGAGGTGGTAGAAATATTGGAGGATGATCCTCTGAATGCAGCGGCTGGTGAGATGGATAGTAAGGTATTTATTCAGCTATTTTGAATATCATAATTTGCTTTCTTCCTACTGGAATGTAATTTAACAGGGGGTGTAAGGACATATGTGGTGTAGAAGAACTGATTTGAGAACTGTATTGCTGGAAGGTGAGAGTTATTGTGGAATGAGCCACTAACCCAGTGCTGTGGGTTTGACAGTGGCTTGAATCTTACATTATGTGTGACTGTAAAAATATCTACATTTGCTTTCAGCTGTTGTTCTTTCCTGAGGTAGGTGCATTGCTGGCAGGGTCAACATTTGCTGCCCATACCTTTGATCTGAGTGGCTTCTTAAACCTGGGCATTTCAGAGTTGCCCATATTGCTGTGTGTCTGGAGTCACATGTAGACCAGACCAGGTAAGCATGGCAGTTTCTTTCCCTAAAGGGCATAAGTGAAACAGATGGATTTTACCAACAATTGAGAATGGTTTCATGGTCATCATTACATCCATAATTCCAAATTTTTACTGAATTTATCTGCCATGACCAGGATTGCATTGTTAAAAAACAGATGCCCCTATCCCTGGCACCACTGGTGATGTTCGCACCTGCTGCACTGTCTAAAACCCTCCACCAGGAATATTCTTCACACAGGCGTAGGTGAGTCTGCCTGATAAACACACCCATCTGGCTGGAGCTTGGCAGATATTTCAGACACCTGTGTAACCAGCTCTAAATCCATCAGCCAATTGGACGCAGCTCCTGAAAAATTTCCTGGAGATCTCTTCAGCTGGTTGCCTGATCTCTGCGGATCTGGTGTGGCACCTGGTGCTTTGGCCCTTCTCCAAAGTGAAACCGGTTAGAACACATTTACAAACACGGCTTTTCTCTCTGGTCCCACTTCCTTCTCCCGGTCTCTCTGTGATACCATACAGATCATTTCCTGCTTAGAGTTTTCACTCTGCTCACTTTTTCCATTTACTTTGGCAAATTTGCCTCATGGAGCTGTCAGTGACAACAGAGGAGCAATTAGTAAAGAAAGTGTCTGTGAAAACAATCCCCCATTGTCCAGTAAAGTGCACAGTTTTTATCAAAGCTTTGCAAGATATACAGTAATGTTACATTAAAGAGTGGGGAAATTAAACTCCAAGGAAGGTGAAGATAGGTGACAAATTGAGTCAGAACCCAACAATATGGAAAGTGAGGCAATTAGACAGCAAAAAGTTGCCAGTAATGACTTCAGACAACTGGCTACAATTGCTGAAGAATAATACTGAGAATGCTGGGATCTGTATGTGTCAACCTTGTCTCAGGTGGAAACGCTCACATTTCTGAGTCAGAAGATGTGGTGATCAACTCCCAGTCCAGGATGTAAACTCATCAATCAGCATTGACACTTGAGTACTGACAAAACGCCACATTGTCGAAGGGTCAGTGCTGAGGGAGTGCCGCACTGTCGAAGGGTCAGTGCTGAGGGAGTGCCGCACTGTCGGAGGGTCAGTACTGAGGGAGTGCCGCACAGTCGGAGGGTCAGTACTGAGGGAACACAGCGCTTGTGGAAACCGTGTTCTTGACAGAGAAGAGAACGAATAATGATGTTAGACAAACCTTTCCCTTGTCTCCTTTGACACAAATCTTACAGAATATGGAGATACCAATGTTTTTGATGAACTAATAGTGACATCAGCAGACATGCACTTGACTCTCTCAGAGAGAAGGGACATTGTGTGCTAGAGAGAGAAACACTTACCTCACAGGGCTGTCTGCATCAGCCATGTCAATAAAAGGATCTGTGCAGAAACTCACCAAGTGAGATTGTTCTCACTCTTAGGTAGAGCCAGTCCCTGAGTTTAATGAAAACGACGGTGTTAGTGGCTGTTATAGTGGAAGCAAACTGCAGAGAGAGGTGTATCAGTGTTTCCTGGTGCTTTGATACACTGTGGTAAAAGTAAATTCTCCTGTAATTTGGTTAGAAATGAAAAGGGGTTTGTGAACCGTTGTTTCTGACAGGCAGTTCCCCAAAAATGCCTGGCATTCTACATTCTCCAAAAAAATCCACTATGGAATTCAGGAGAAACATCTTTCCCCGGAAAGTAGTGAAAATTTGGAACTCAGTCCCACTGGCAGTGGGTGAGGGGAGCACACCTGTGGTGTCTCAGCTTCAGCCCTTTGAAAATTGGCTGCGTCCAAGAGCCACACATTGTTTAACCTTCTGCGCATGAACTTTAATTATTATTAATTGACGAACTATCTTGGCAGGGAGTGGCCACGGTGTAAAATTGGAGTGGTGATGTGATCTGAGCAAGATCTGGCCACAGCTGCTCAACCATAACTTAGAAACGGCAAGATCTGAAATGTTGCATAGACACAGTCCTCAATTGGCTGGTCTCTCATCTATACGAGCGCAGGAACAAAGGAGTAGGCCATTCAGCCCCTCAAGCCTGTTCCACCATTCATTGTGATTTGTGACCTCACTCCATACCTGCCTTTGGCCCACATCGCTTAATACTTTTGCTTAACAAAAAAAATTTTATTTAAAATTAACAACTGATCCAGCATCCACTGCCATTTGTGGAAGAGAGTTCCAAACCTCTCCCACCCTTTCTGTGTACAAGTGTTCCCTAACATCCCTCCTGAATGGTCTGGCCCTAATTCTCAGACTATGCCCTTAGTTCTAGAATCTCCACCCAGTGGAAATAGTTTATTTTTATCTACCCTGGCTTTTCCTGCTAATATCTTGAAGAATTTGATCAGATCATCTCTTAACCTTCAAACTTCTTGAGAAAACAGGCCTAATTTGTGTCATCTGTTCTTTTATTTAACCCCTGAAATGCAGGTATCATTCTTGTTGTACTCCCTTAAAGACCAATCCATCCTTCCTAAGGCATGGTGCCCAGATTCTTCTAGTTTATATTAAGAAGGTGTTTAATCTTATTTCTTTATTTTTCTACTTATTCTATGAAGCTAACGGTTAACTTTATAATTTTGTTTCCTTAATAATTTGTACCTATGTTTTTTGCACCTGGGTACCTTCGTTCCTAAGATGGTGCCATGTATTAATGACATTGTACATTTTTCACTGTACTCCTGTACTTCTGTGTGTGACATTAAAGTCAAAATCTAAATCTAAAAATCAGATCTGCTCATAGTGCTCCAGGTGGGGTCTAACCAGTGTTTTGTATATCTGCAGCATAACTTCCACAGCCTTGTACTCCAGTTCTCTAGGTAAAAAGGCCAGTGTTCCATTAACTTCTTTGATTATTTTCTGCACTTGTTCGTGGCATTTTTAAGTTCTGTGCACCTGAACCCCCAAGTCTCTTCAGACATCCAGTGTATTTAGCTTCATACCATCTATTCTTATAGAGCCACAGACCTATCTAAAGGGAAACTGGACGAGTGTATGAGTAAGAAAGGAATAGAGGGTAAATGGATAGATTTAGATAAAGAAAGATAGGACGAGATTGAAGTGGGACATCCACACCAGACTGATTTGGTCAAGTCTTCCAGAAGTTAGCACTGTCCTTTCCCTGGGGAGAAGAAGGCTGAGGTGAGATCTGATAGACGTTTTCGAAATCCTGAATAGGGCTGTATAAAGCAGACAGGGAGAAACTGTTCCTGCTTGTAAAAGAAACAATAATGAGAGAGCATGGGTTTAAAGTGATGTGCAAATGGAGCAAGGGTGATGTGAGGAAAAGCTTTTTCACACGGCGTGTGGTTAGGGTCTGGAAATGGGACAGGGGCAGGTTCAACTGAGGCCTTCAGGAGGGTATTGGATGATACTCTTGATATAAATGGTGTGCAGGTATGTGGGGAAAAGGCAGGAGATTGACACTTGGTAATAGAATTAGTTCAGACACGATGGGCTGAATGGTCTTTGTCACCATAATAATTCTGTGTTTCTGATTAGCCTGTTTCTGTGCTGTATATCCTACATTATTCTTTAGAGTTGGTACTGCATTGAAGAGGTTGTGATAGTTAAGAAGCTCGGTACGTCTGTAATAGTGACTCTGTAACATCTTCGTTTCTGAACTTTGTTGAGATTTTTAATGTATGCCCATTTGTTTCCTGAACACTTACTGCAGAAACCAATTATTTATGCTGTTTACTTTTCCAAATGTACATATTGTTTTCTTAACAACAATTCTCCAGTTTGTTAACCAAAGCGATAGTAATAACTTGGAAAGAAAAAATGTGGAAGGGACCCATTGAAATTCTGTAGCAATTAGCTGGCTGTATTTACAATGGAGACATGTCAGGTCTCAATGAAACTAATCCTTTGTTAGAAAATACAGTTCTGAGGAAGGGTCACTTGACCTGAAACATTAACTCTGATTTCTCTCCACAAATGTTGCCAGACCTGCTGAGCTTTTGTAGCAATTTCTGTGTTTGTTTCTGATTTACAGCATCTGCAGTTCTTTTGGTTTTTCTTTTGTTATAAAATGTTGCTTTGTTGCTTGCAGGATAGAATTCTTATAAAGATGATTATTTCTCCTGTGTATATGTCTAGTTTTGAAAGCTGAAAGAGATACACTCTACTACTCTGAAACCCATAAAAGAAGTGTACAGCTAACATTTTTATTTTCCAGCACCTATCGGACCAGGTGTATGCTGGTTGGTCCAATATTCTGGGCAATCAAGAGGTCCATATAACCACAGTAAACCCTGGCTATGAGAAGCTTTGAGACATCAACATCCCTCAGGATAATCTATGTAAAACCGTCAACACACATTCTAAAATTGATGTAAAATCACCATAGAAAGTAATAGAAATGTAATGCAGAGGTTACACACGTCACTGTTATACTTTATTTACAGAATAAATGTTTTGGCTTTGCGATATTTGAGGTGTCACACTTTTTGCCAGTTTTATCGAGAGTGCCAGTTGATAAGGTGCCGGTTAAAAGTTTGCTGCATTTGAATTGCAACTTTCTTGATCTGAGGCTGCTGCAAACTGGTTAGTTATTTTTTGAGTGGCAGACATGTTGTAATTTGGGAAATATTGTAGTTGATCCATGCACAGCAAGCCCCCTCACAGCAATATGATAATGACCAGTAATTTGTCCTGGTGATGTTGATTAAGGAATAGATTCCCTTGTGCCCCCACCCCACCCCCCGCCAAAGATGTCACATTGCAGTCTTTTATATCAAGCTGAGAGGGTGTGTGATGTGTCAGTATAACACCACACCTGAAAGGCAGAGCCTGTGACAGTGTCACACTCCCCCAGTGTCATAGATTCGGAGAGGTCTACAACACAGAAAAAGGCCCTTTGGCCCTTCGAGTCTGTACTAGTCAAAAACTACCACCTGACTGTTCAAATCCCATCCCAGCTCTTGGCCCATAGCCTTGTCTGTCTTGGCATCGCAAGTGTGTATCTAAATATTTCTTCAATGTTCTGAAGGCTTCTGCCTCTACCACTCTTACAGGCAATAAGTTCCAAATTCCCACCACTCTCTGGGTGAAAAAAAAATCCTTAAATCTCCTCTAAACCTCCTGCATCTTATCTAAAATATACATCCCCTGGTTCCTTCCAGTCTCCCCTGCCTATGTCCCTCATAATTTTGTCCGTCTCAATCATGGCCCCTCAGTCTCCTCTGCTCTAAGGAAAACAATCCAAGTCTGCCCAATCTCTCTTCATCGCTGAAACTCTCCAGGCCAGGCACCATTCTGGGAAATCTCCTCTGCGCCCCATCCACTGCTGTCACATCCTAGGTCAGTCCAACACTGGCACTTCCACATCGACCCTCCTCGAATATAGATTCCAGAACTGCACACAGTACTGTAGCTGTGGTCTTACCAATGCTTTATACAGTTCCAGCATCACCTTCCTGATATTAAACTCTATAGAAAGCACCTGATGATGGAGTTGAACTTACAACAGACAATCTGCTATCAAACCTGCAACATTGCACAGCCAACATCTTCACCTTATACCATCACCTCCTGTGCTGCACATTAACATTCTCTGAGACTTCCTGTGACTCAGAGGCAAGACTGGTACCCACTGAGTCATACCTGGCACCTTGTGCCAGTGTTGGTCAGCTTTTGCCAATGGTTTTTACTGTAATTTGCATTAAAGTACTGTTGGTGATTAGTTTTGCAAATGATGTCCAAATTGCATTTTAAACTGAGCTCATGAGACAGGGAAATGTGTTTAAGTCTGAATATAAACTCAGCAAACAGCCTCTGTGCAAAAGCTGTGAAAGTTTATAATAAGCACTTTTAAATTTCAGACTTTTGAATTTTTTTTCCTTTTTCTGAGCTGTTTCCTTGTAATTGTAAGGTAATTCAAACATTGAACATACACGGCAAACAGTTGTGTATGTGCAAAGGGAAATCAGTAAGCATCTCGAGTGTTGAGCTTTGAATGTCAGAATGATTAACATTTGATATTGCGCAGCAGGGTGTCATATTTCATCCTGCGGCTATACCCATGCAGCGTGTGACCGTTTAACAAGGAAAGGCCCCTGTCCCTCTGGTCATAATCTTTGATCTTTTGAAAGAATCATAGCCGTGTCTGGAACTGACAGTTTGGAGATACTGATAAGTACCAGACCAGGGCCTTAAAAAAAACACATGTTGAACTGATGAAGTGCAACACATGTTTCCTAGAGTTGTGGAGTCATACAGCATGGAAACAGACCCTTTGGTTCAACTCAACCATGCCGACTAGCTATCCTAAATTAATCCAGTCCCATTTGCCATCATTTGGCCCATATTCCTCCAAACCCTTCCTATTCATGTACCCATCCAGATACCTTTTAAATATTGTAACTGTACCAGCTTCCTCCACTTCCTCTGGCAGCTCATTTCCATACACACACCACCCTCTGTGTGAAAAAGTTGCCCCTTAGGCCCCATTTATACCTTTCCCCTCTCACCTTAAACCTATGCCCTCTGGTTTTGGATTCCCCCCACCCCAGGGAAAAGATCTTGTCTGTTTACTTTATCCATGCCCCGCATGATTTTATAAACCACTTATAAGGTCACTCTCAGCCTCTGACACTCCAGGGAAAATAGTCCCAGCCTATTCAGCCTCTCCCTATAGCACAAGCCCTTCAAACCTGGCAACATCCTTGTAAATCTTTTTTGTACCTTTTCGAGTTTAGCAACATCTTTACTGTAGCAGGGAGATCAGAATTGCACGCAGTATTCCAAAAGTAGCTTAACCAATGTCCTGTACAGTCGCAACATGACCTTCCATCTCGTATACTCAGTGCACTGACCAATAAAGGCAAGTGTACCAAACGCCTTCTTCACCATCCTGTCTACCTGTGACTCCACTTTCAAGGAACTATGAACCTGCACTCCAAGGTCTCATTGCTCGGCAACACTGCCCAAGACATTACCATTAAGTGTATAAGTCCTACCCTGATTTGCCTTTCCAAAATGTAACATTTCACATTTATCTAAACTAAATTCCATCTGCCACTTCTTGGCCCCTTGGCCCATCTGATCAAGGTGCCGTTGTACTCTGAGATAACTTTTTTCACTACACCACAATTTTGGTGTCATCTGCAAATTTACTAACCATATCTCCCATGTTCCCATCCAAATCATTGATATAAATGACAAAAAGCAGTGGATCCAGCACCGATCGTCGTGGCACACCGCTGGTCACAGGCCTCCAGACTGAAAAGTAACCCTCCACCACCACCCTATGTTTACCTTCTTGTGCTAACTATGTACAGTTTCTCATGGGGCTGTTGTGACACACTGTCCCTGACTCTGTTCTGAAGAAGGGTCACTGGACCCGAAACATTAACTTTCTCTCCACAGATACTGCCAGACCTGCTGAGATTTTCCAGCAATTTCTATTTTTGTTTCAAATTTCCAGCATCCACAGTTCTTTCGTGTTTTTGTCTCTTGTTAAAGCATCTGATTAGTGAAAGTCTAATTAAAAAGTTGTCTTCCCCAGCCACTGTATATATCCCTCCTCATGGCTAATGGGGTTTCCATTGCTAGTTGATTGCCAGCTGTTTGTTCATGTTAGTTTGATGCTGATTTCCATGAACTTCGCAGTCCTCAGGCTAACAGTGCCCACAGTTAACAGTGAAGCATTCTTATGAATGAAGCTCTGTGTAAATCCATGCGAGAGTGCCTGAACCAGGGCTATCTTTAATCTCAACGATTTCACATTGCCACCTTTCAGTTTGCAAAACTGAAACAATATAAAGGAGTGACCAAGAAGAGCTGGGTTTTTAAAAAAATCATTCATGGGGTGAGGGCATTGCTGGCCAGGCAGCATTTATTCCCCATCCCTAATTGCCCAGAGGGCAGTTAAGAGTCAACTACATTGCTGTGGGTCTGGAGTCACATGTAGGCCAAACCAGGTAAGGATGACAGTTTCCTTCCCTAAAGGACATTAGTGAACCAGATGGTTTTTTGACACTAGATTCATGGTCATCGTTAGACTTTTGATTCCAGATATTTATTGAATTCAAATTCTACCATCTGCCATGGCAGGATTCGAACCCGGGTCCCCAGAACATTATCTGGGTCAACAGTCCAGTGACAATACCACTAGGCATTGCCTCCCCACGAAGCATCTTTCAAAGAGCTAGAACAGGCAGACTGAATGACCTCCTTCTGTGATGGAGGGTTCAGTGATTCAGTGTTTCTCATCTAGAAGAGTGCTCAACATGAGCACAATGATATTTTCTTCATTCCTAGTCTTGGTTGCAGTTCATTTATTGACAATAATCCCACTGTTTGGGAACTAAGTGCCTTGTGCTAGTTTCAGTTGTGCTTTCGTTAACGTTCACTCTCGGTGTGTGGGATTTTCTGAAGGACACAGAGGTCTTGACCGCAAACTGGAGAGCTGCCCATGATGCCTGCTTGCGGAAAAACCCGCCATATTCAACAGGGCCGTTGCAGAATTGGGAAGTCTACCCCACCCCCACACATGCACCCACTGAAAACCTGTGTCTATTTCAGGGAGTATCTGACTGCTTACTGTTCATCCTTCGTGATAGAAAATGAAAAGCATTCACCACACCAGTTGTGCATTGTACATTATTTATCTGCTCTTGCTGCTTATAAACTGTCACTAATTATTATTTCATTAGCTTGAAAGCTGAACCACTGCCTCCACTTCACCTGGGATCAGTTAATTCAACAGAGGATAGGACTGGATCGTTGTGGTTTATATGACTCATTAGGTACACTTCTCCAGGCATTGGGAACCCTGACATCCTTTATTGAGTTTCATTGATGTACTTTCTATTGGTACAGGATGGATCCTCTATCTGAGCCTGGATGGTTACAGTCAGCTCTGTCATTGTCTCTTTGATCAGGACAGTAAAGTTTCCTCATCTCCATTGTGGTCTCCTTGTGTTCCTGTGTCCAGTAGATTCTCAAACCTCTTTGCATCAAAGGAACTTGCAACTGTTTCTATGCTCAGCAAGGACACACATCATTCGGATTGTTACTCCCTCCTGCAAGTGGACACACGACCCATTGGCTAACTGGAGGGCAGTTCACCAATTGAGGGGTACTGTGTTTTGAACTCACAAGGATCTGTTGTATAGAACATAGAACAGTACAGCACAGTACAGGCCCTTCGGCCCACGATGTTGTGCCGAATTTTTACCCTAAACCTAAGGTCTATGTAGTATAGTATCATTCCTTTACCTCGTTGAATCTAACCATACACAATTCTGTGAGTCATAACATTGAAACGTTTTGACCTCAATAATAATTACACAATGCACACCTTCAGATTTACCCATCCCTTATAGCACTTTGGGTGAATGTACATCCCAAGGACTGCAGTGGTTCTACGAGG